GCCAATTCAGAATGAACACATCTCAGTATTCTCATATTTGCTTCAGATCTTATTTTTTGATTGTGCTTTTTCTTGAACTCTTAAGAATTCCTGGAAGGCCGGGCGCGGTGGCTCACGCCTGTAATCCCAGCACTTTGGGAGGCCGAGATGGGCGGATCACGAGGCCAGGAGATCGAGACCATCCTGGCTAACACGGTGAAACTCCGTCTCTACTAAAAAATACAAAAAACTAGCCGGGCGAGGTGGCGGGCGCCTGTAGTCTCAGCTACTCGGGAGGCTGAGGCAGGAGAATGGCGGGAACCCGGGAGGCGGGGCTTGCAGTGAGCTGAGATCCGGCCACAGCACTCCAGCCTGGGCGACAGAGCGAGACTCAGTCTCAAAAAAAAAAAAAAAAAAAAAAGAATTCCTGGAATATTCTTTCAAATCATAACTTCCGTATCATTTATTAAATGTTTACTGATTATGCCATTTACTTTTTTAAATAATCCATTGACTTTGGACTATAAAATTCAAACACAATTGCTTTAGAAAATCTTCAGGTGATAATATAACTATGATTGAGGTAACCCTAAAATGTCATCTCAAATTATGTGTACTGAATCCGTTAAACAAACTTGCTGATTGCCTAATCGGTGCCAGGAATCATAGTAGTTTTGAGACACAAAAGCTGGGGTGAAAGTTCCTCCCCTTTAAGTCATCTTGTACATCAGGTCTGCCCCATGGAGATATAATGCCAAAGAGCGAATATTAAACCTTCTAGTAGCCACATTTAAAAAAGGTGAAATTAACTTTAATATAGTTTGAGGACAGTATGTCCAAAATATCACTAAAATGTGTAATCAACATAAAGATTAATGAACTATTTTGTTCATTTTTGTACTTATTTTCCAAAATCTGGCATTTTACACTAACTTCTCTGATTTCAAGGGCTCTATAGCCACATGGGGCTCCGGTTGTCATACTGGGAAGTGCTGATGTGGAGGGTGGGTATGTGGCTCACAGGTCCTAACAGAGCAACTGGGGAAGCTGTTGGCTGCATTGCCTTGAGCTCAGTGGTAATGGACATTGGGGGTGGGGAGGGTGCTGAGGGATGAAGGCAGAGAGGAAGCAGATGGAGACTGGATGAAGAAACCACCAAGTAGACTTGCTTGGAGAGACAGGTGGTAGGGGTGGTTGAAGATGCACCAGGCATTGGGCCCACGTGACTGGCAGAACACCAGGGAACACATGCGGAATAAAACTGTAGGATGGGAAGGTCTTTAGCAGTCGCATCTCAGGGGACACTGCAGTCCAGAAAGAGGAGACCCACTACTACATGCTTGGGACCCAACCACAACTCTAGATCTCCTGACCCTCAGAACAATGTTTTTGTTCACTGTACTGCTCTGAGGCCAAGCTCAGTTTAAGTTCTATTGCCAGTTTTATGTTAGACTGGAGCTGCCAGTCAAGTCATAAAATATACCAGGAACCAAAATCTATCCACGACCCAGTAAGAGTGGGTGCAGGAATAAAAACCATGTTCGAGAGAACAGAGCCAGAAACCACCAGGTACTTAGACACATGGAGGCGTACTTTATATTGGATTTCTTTCTAATCTCATTATCTTTCATTTATGTCAACTTCTGGAAACAGAAAGAGGGGAGGAGATATGGAAACAAAAAGGATAAAGATGTTAGTACACAAGAAGAGGGGGTACATTTTCAGGGTTTTTTTTTTTTGTATACTTCATTTCACTTGACAATGTCTATTTTGTATTTGTTACATGCCCCATTAGAACAACATACCAAAAACCTAAATGTATACATACACACACACACACACACACACACACACACACACACACATATATACACACAGAGTATTTGAGGTGGTTTACAATAAAAGGTACAAATGTAATAGAATTTTAGATAGTCCAGCTACCCAATTTCATCTTGGACTTCTGGAGAGGAAGGCAGGTTGTCACCATCATATCACAGAATTGTTGTAGTAGTAACAAAAATTGCTCACATTTGCGTGCTCAGAATGTGACAGGCACTAATCCAAGTGCTTCACATAGATGATTTCATTTAATCCTCACATGCCTGTGAGGTAGGTTCCATCACTGTTATCTTCATTCTATATTTCAGGACACTGAGGCACAGAGATTAAGAAACTGACTACAAGGCCGGGCACGGTGGCTCATGCCTGTAATCCCAACACTTTGGGAGGCCGAGACAGGTGGATCACTTGAGGCCGGGAGTTTGAGACAAGACTGGCCAATATGGCAAAACCCCATCTCTATTTAAAAAAAAAAAAAATACAAAAATTAGCCAGGCATGGTGCCGGGCACCTATAATCCCAGCTACTCGGGAGGCTGAGGCAAGAGAATAGCTTGAACCCAGGAGGTGGAGTTTGCAGTGAGTTGAGATCACGCCACTGCACTCCAGCAAGGGCAACAAAGTGAAACGCTGTCTGAAAAAATAAAAATAAAAAATAAAAAACAAAAAACTGACCACAGTCCCTTGCTGGCTAGTGGTGTGGCAGGGCAGGGCAGGGACTCAAACCTAAGTGTCCTGGTTCTGGAATCCATGTCCATAAGCCCAATTCTCCATCTACTCCCAGTCACTCCTCTCCAAATCTTCTTCCCAAACAAGAAACACTGAAACATAGAATGAATTATAAAGAACCTTGTGTTTCAATCATCTGGACAACAGAAAGCCCCTATTTTAAGAGAAACACAGTGTGTTACTGATGGTGTCATCAGTGACGTGACCCTGATGTGCCACCATGCTCGAACTCAACTAAACCGGAGCAGCAACTGTTTTCACCCTTCTGGATTCAGCCAAGAATCACTGACCATCGAGAACCAGCTAACATCGAATGCATCAGAAAAAGCCAACTTCCACATAGATCCCTTCCTGGGCATATGCTTAGGGGCTCTGCCAAAACCTGAACAAGGAACATGGTAGAGATGACAGTAACGTGCCTGTGCAGTAACGTGTCCTCACAGGAAGTGGTGATGCCTTGCTTTCATTCCCTACTATGTCTTCGGCTTCACTAGAGTCTTTGTCAAGCTTTCTTCACACCATACACAGGAACCTCCAGAAATAACTGCTAGCTAAGCCCCTAGCACAGCGCCTAACACAGAGCAGGAATTCAAATTTGTGAAGTGAGTGCACAGCTCTGGCTGCCGTTTTAGAACACCTTGGGAACACTACCTTAATCCCAACCTCAGAAATCTTTAAGGAAGATAGCTATTAACTTTGCCTGACTTTCTACTAGATGGCCAAATTCCAATGATCATATTGAAAATTATTTCAGAGTAAAACCAAATCAACCAAGGCAAGAAAACAATAACATCATAACATATGTATGGTATTTTACAGATGGCATTCATTCATTCCAGGACACATCTCCCAGCCTCTACTCACACTTGCTAAACAGTTTGACACAGAAATTCTTCAGTTCTAGTTCTCTTCAATGGATATTTAATTTGAAAGTGCTCCTTAAGAATCCAAATGCATAGGGCCAGGCACAGTGGCTCACGCCTGTAATCCCAGCACTTTGGGAGGCCAAGGCGGGTGGATCATCTGAGGTCAGGAGTTTGAGACCAGCTGCTCGGGAGGCTGAGGCAGGAGAACTGCTTGAACCAGGGAGATGGAGGTTGCAGTGAGTTGAGATCACGCCATTGCACTCCAGTCTGGGCAACAGAGCAAGACTCTGTCTAAAAAAAAAAAAAGAATCTAAATACATCAGTTCTCTGATCTAAGTCAGGTTCTTTCCTCATCTTTGTTTCCATTACATAAACAAATGATCTCCCACAGTAGTTACTGCTCTTTTCCACTCTAGCCAATGATAAAACATTGGGATGGCGGTGGTGGATGGGAATTCCGGCTCTTCTCCGCCATCTTCTCTGCAATCAACTGAAAGACCTCTCACAAGATGGGTGCAGTTGAGGAAAAAGAATAAAGGTGGTCATGGACAAATGAAAACTGGTTCATTGTCTGAAAATTATCAAGAACTGACCTGTGACCCAGACAGAAAGTAGCTCTGCATGTCTTCACAGAACACAAGATACACAAGCTTAAATAACCAGAAAGATGTTTAGTAACAAACACTCCTCACAGTCAAGTGTTGAGTTCCAAAACACTTCAGAAAATAACGGACAATTACTTGTTCACACATTTTAGACAGCAAATAAAACTGAAATGGTTTAGGAAGAACAATCTCTCACACTGGTGTTGAAATTATATAAAATTGTATTTTTATACCTAGAGTCTCAAACTAGTGAGAATCATTTCCCTGAACTCTATGAAGTAAATACATATTCTCCCCTCTTTACAGGTAAGGGAAAGATCAAACAGGAGAGGAATTTTTTTTTTTTTGATACAGAGTCGCGCTCTTGTTGCCCAGGCTGGAGTGCAATGACGCCATCTTGGCTCACTGCAACCTTCACCTCCAGGGTTCAAGTGATTCTCCTGCCTCAGCCTCCCGAGTAGCTGGGATTACAGGTGCCCGCCACTATGCTCGGCTAATTTTTGTATTTTTAGTAGAGATGGGGTTTCACCATGTTGGCCAGGATGGTCTCAAACTCCTGACCTCAAGTGATCCACTTGCCTCGGCCTCCCAAAGTGCTGGGATTACAGGCGTGAGCCACCGTGCCCGGCAGGAAATGTATTTAGTTATGCATGTAGTGACACAGCACCAACTCTTTTAGTCTGGGATTTACCTTGATAAGGTATCTGTTGGTACAAACAGTATCCAAAACCTGGCAGTATGCCTGCAGATGCATTACTTCTAGTGGTCAAGCTACGCTGTGGCATGGGGTTTGTGATGACAGTGAGATGAGATGATGCCCGCAAGAGGCTTAGGCCACTGCTTGTCTAGTATCACAACAAAGTGAACCTTTAAAATATTATGTAATATTTAATAGCCATATTTGGCAATATAACATATATATAAAACATGTAAACTTTATCACATATATATGAAATAACTTTTTATCACCAACTTTTGAGATCCATATTTTCCTTTATTGCTGAATTAATGAGGCACCAATAATCCCAGTAACATAAGTCAGAATTTATTCTGAAAATACCATAAAGAGACAAAAAGAGTTAGTCAAGTATTCTTGCCTGCTGGAGACACAGAATATCAATAGCACCTTTTTAAAAAAAAGACATGAACGTTTATAAAATTGCAGAACATATCTTATATATTCACATATAAAATCATGAACCAATAATAATCCGGATGAAAAAACTGATCTGTTTCAACATCAATAAACATTTTATTAAAAGTTTGTTCCACATATTAGCGTTCCCTCAGTACATTATAAGTACTTCAGCTTTCTATTTGAAGTGACTTTCTTAAAAATAACTTTTTTTCTGCTCAGGATAACCAGGTATTATTATAGTATACGTATTATAATAACAAGGTATATGTCTTTGACCTCATGTATGACTCCCCAGTCACTACAGGAATAGATTTACTTTTCATACACAAATTGGGAAAGATGTCAAATATTGATAAGTATTGAAAAGTTGTAGCTACTCTAAACTGAGTAAATTAGTGATCATACAAGCACTCCATAATAATTGAATTAAAGGTTTCAAATTCAGTTAATTACATGAATATTTGATAAATATGTGAATGTTCTAAATATTAGTTTGACCAAAGTACTAATTTTCATTCTAATGATTGGATGTTACATAGTCTCTACATAATGTCAATTATACTAAGCGATAATGTAATTTCAAGTTCTTTAATCAAAAAGTATGAGTTACTCGTAATGAAAACTGGCACATAAGGAGGGGAAAAAAATCTTGTTTATAAAGCAAGCTGTGCAAAACTACAAGGACATTGTAGCTTTCCACCAGATATGGAGTATCTGCCAAGAAAATATTTTACTCAATCTTCAATCTAAATACTACTAAAACCAAATTAAGGTTAAAAATTATTTTACTATGCACTTGCAATTATACACACAAAATACTGCTTTGATAGACATTTTTTTCACATTTGTTGTGGTATACATCTGAGAGTTACTGTGTGTCTATAATAAGCAAATTTTATATTTCTATATTTCCTTTTTAAGAGATGGGGTCTCGTGCTGTTACCCAGGCTGTAGTGCAGTGGTATGACCTGGCTCACTGCAATCTCAACCTCCTGGGCTGAAGTGATCCTCCCACCTCACCCTCCCAAGTAGCTGGGACGACAGTTGCACTGCCATCATGCCTGGCTAATTTTTTTTCATTTTTTTGTAGACAGGTTCTCGCTATGTTGCCCAGGCTGGTTTTGAACTTGACCTTATTTCCTTCATCTATGATCAGTCTAGTTAGATCACTTGATTGACACAGACCTATTCAAAGAATGTAATTATAAACAAAGGAAAAAATAAAGCTTATGCAACCCATAGCAAGGAAAATTGTCGCCACTCTAAATTTTAGAAATCACATGGAAATGAAACATATGGAAAACTATCAGTATGTATGGTCTAAGAGTTAGCCAGATTGGCACTTTTATTCACCAACTTGGTTAATTTCAGGCATTTGACATGTTTCATTGAGATCACTTAATGATTACAGAATTGTCAAGCAAATTAACATTGGCCATGCATCTTATAAATTACAGATGAATGTATATAACCAAACTAATATACTGCTTAACGGTTTTGATTATTTTAGTGTATTTTTAAAAACTTTGCTCAAAGCTTAGGGAAAAGTATTGTGAAGAATGCAGGGCCAGTCATTAAGCCTATTTTATGTACTAGGAGACTGTTGGTGAATTTTAGGATCAAAAAATGTTAAACAGCACAGCCATTAGAGATAGTGAAAGATTTTATTTTTTACTTTCATCCAAACACACCCTTTCCTGAAAAACATAAAAGCATGCACATCGATGGCATTCTTATAAAGAAAAATTAATAACTAAGCTGTAAATCAATAATAATACAAACGAAAGTTTAAATGATATGTGAAAAGATTTACAGGTAGGTATACGGCTCTTAATTTTAGAAAATAATTCAAGTCAGAATTAATACAGGTTAAGGAGAAGCTTCTAATTTTCCAAACATTTTGATACAAAAATTTTTTCAACTACTATATTTTATAGACCGTTTGTGAGATTAGTATAGTTCTATGAAACATAACATTCAAGTGATCTTATGCAGGTCAGACTGCCTTGTTAAAATGAGTTAGAATCCACATAATTCCAATAGTATTGCCCCTCAAAGTTCAAATTTAGAACATATCCATTATATTCAAAATATGTTAAATCCCTGTACTTAACAAAGACATGGAATCGATCTAAATTTTACTTTACAGGTAAGAGAAAATTAGAATTTGGCATGAGGAAACTTTTCTTAAGTTTTACCCATGCCCCACTGATGATTAGGCCAACTGTATCCTGAGTGTGCATGGATGTGTGCATCCATTCTAAACCAATTCACATCACACGACTCTTCAAAGACGATGCTTGAAACAGTTTATTCTCTGGCCTGGGAGAAGCAGTGTAACACAGTCACTTGATTCTCCCTTAATCATTATTTCTTTCATTTTGCTTATCATGATCCAATTCGTATGTTTCATGTGGGCCATTGATATATTTTTGCAACAAAAATCCAGTAGCAGTAAGCAGAAATGTTAACTTAAAGGACTATGAGGAAATCAAAGTTTAAATTATAACACAAAAATAGAACAGTTCACACCGAAAGGTCTTCTCCCATGGGATATATTGTTCCATGGCTGAAAATTGTGATTTGGTTCCTGGAACAAAGCTCTTGCTCTAAGGTGATACATATTAATGTGTAGCTCTACTAAACCTAATGGGAAATAAACAAATTCGTTCAGTCCTGATGAATTAATTCTGTATTTCACTGGCTTGAGAAGGTGAATTTCTTGACACAGACAAATGCAAAATGCCCCTGCAGTAGCTGGTGAAGCCCACTCACAAGGGCTTAAAGAGGTCAGCTCTGAAAGTGGGCAGCCCAGGCTGGCTCTGCATTTCTTCCCAGCAAATCTGCGTGCAAGCCGCTGAGCGGCACCGCTGACGGGATCCAAAGGAAAAGGGCCAGAGCCCAGTGGGAATCCACCACATCACAGAAACGTGACTTCTGAACATCCTGTTCCATCAAAGAGAAGAAGGCAAAGGCACATGCTAGTAAATCTAGGCAGAATGTCTGCAGGCTCTCGTCACCTTAAAAATCTTGTGAACTTGGGGTCCAACCAAGGTGCACACTGACTATTTGGATATTAAAAAAAAACAAAACAGAAAACCTTAATGTTTTCAAGCACTTATGGCACAGACATAGGGGAGTACTAATAGCATAAATATTCAAAAAGCTGGGAAATTTAAAGTTCTGCTATAATGAATCAGAATCACAATTTTAAGCTTCTTTCTCATATTTTATACCATTTTTTGTGTGTACAGGGTGTGCAAATTAAGCAATTTCAATAAATATTAGAAATTTATTTTGCAAATACAAAATGAGTAAAATCAGCTAATAACGCAATACAATAAAATCATGTGCTAAACAGAGCTTTCTCCCCATGAACACTTTTTACCCTTTCCTTTGAACATCCTGACACTTCTTAAATACAATTTATTTCACTGACTTGTAGAAATAAGCACAAGATGAAATATTAGCTAGCTGCAAGATACTAAATACTTTAGTAATAAGACCTTAGAGCTGTCAGGTTGTAATAAACTGAAAATAACAGAGAAAGTGAAATATGCTGCAAATTAATGCTCAAAAATGCAGCCATCTGACTTACAAAATACACAATCCTCCCAGCCTTCTCAAGTTGTCATTAGTTCATGGGAAATGGACAGAGTAGGAGAAACTCCATTTAGCTTTTACCCTTCCAGCAGCCCGGGTGCTAAAGTTGTATTAACCAGGTATGTCTGCCCAAGACCATTGCATATCAGCTTTCGTCACAAATTCTATTTTATCCAATCTTCAACCAACAAGGCTTTATTTACACTCCTTATTAAACTCAGGAAACAATTTGATGTCATGTGCAGCCGCCAAAAATAGACAATGTAGCACATCCCATTGTCTGGAGACAGCTATTTGTTTATGCTTTAATAGTAACCCACAGGCAGCCAAGTAGGGTTCCATATATCCAGGTGTTCACATACAGCTTCCTTCCAGCATCGGTCATAAGCATGCCTGCAGTCAAACCACTTAAGATCAACATTGATGGTAAAGTCTTCTTGATACTTAATTTGGAATTAACACTTTTCCCAGGAAATCTTTTTCTTCTTTCTGGATCTGGTGACTCATAAAATTCTATAAGCATCCTATGGCCAGAATGAAAAAGGTTTGGATTTTAGTCACTTCAGTATTTCAATTCAAAAAAATATCAATTAGGTAGCTATTACATGCTGGAAAAGTTATGCAGGTCCTTGGAAAATAAGGATGAATAAGGAAACATCCAGAAATTTGGATTAATAGAAGTTTCTAGTCTTTTAAAATATCTTTAATATGCTCTATGACTAGTATACATGAATTATATATGTAATATTTCAACAGGTGGTTTTAAGCCATTTTATGAGAATGTTTTTTGTCTTTTAAACTTTTGATCTATAAAGTTTTACAGTGACCTGACTCACAAATGGCTAATAACCCGCTGCAGCTTCTCCTCCTTTTTATGTGGAGCTCCTATTCCACCAGAAGTCAAAGATAGGACCAGCGGTTCTTAGACAGCGGTCCCTCTGTATCCACAGGAGGCTGGTCCCAGGATACCCAGCACAGACCAAGATCAAAGGATGCTCAAGTCCCAGATATATGAATAAAATGGCATGTATTTGAATATAACATATACACATCCTCCCAAATCCTTTTTTTTTTTGAGACAGGGCCTTACTCTGTTGCCAGGCTGGAGTGTGGGGCAACGATAGCTCACTGCATTCTCAACCTTCCAGGCTCAGGAGATCCTCACACCTCGGCCTCCTAAGTAGCTGGGACTACAGGTGCACACCTGGCTAATTTTTGTATTTTCTGTAGAGACAGCGTTTTGCCATGTTGCCCAGGCTGTTTTGAACTTCTGGGCTCAAGCAATTTGCCCGCATTAGCCTCCCAAAGTGCTGGGATTACAGGCATGAGCCACCACAGTCAGCCCCCTTTTTTTCTGAGTGTTTTTGATCTGTGCTTGGTTGAATCCACGAATGTGGAATCCATGGATATGGACTGCTCACTGCACCTGGTCTGTCCCAAAAACACCTTTATTCCCATGGAATTAGAAAGGCAGGTGAAAGAAGGAAAACAGCATAGTAATTCATTTTACCATCTTACATAAGATTTGTAAAGTTATAATAGCAGAACATACCCAACATAATAATCTAAAACACAAAAATACTGAAAGGAAAAGCACCTCTATTGCTTTATAAATCACACACCGTAGCGATAATCATTGTTTTAAAATGTCCAGACTCATTCTAAATATTTATAAATACTTATAAAATAAGTAGCACGTTAAATACATTTGTCTTTTTTCTGAGAACACATTTTCATGTCAATACATGCAGATCTTACTTTTAAATTTCTTCCATGGCCAAAGTGGTCCTGAATGGCTGGCTTAATAAATTACATCATGTACACTTGAGAGTCAACGAAAAATAGAAGCTTAAAGTTTCATTTTTAACCTATCACACTTTTAATCATTTTCACCTAGTAAAGTTAATCCAGGAGGGTTAATTAAAAACATTTCACTGTAAAACAAGGAAAAGAAGAACAATGATAGTTTCTTGAGAAGAAAATATATATTAAGAGAATAAAACAATTGGCTAAAATTTCTGAATATAATTAACCACAGAAGACATTGTGGATATAACCCTGCCAACTGCCCCTTCTATTTCCAATATAACAGCGTCATGTCTGCCTGCAAGTCAGCACAGTCCTCTTCCCCTCCCTTGCTTTTCTGTGCACACCGGCCCAGCAGCTGTCCTCACACAGTAACACCACTTTATGTGACCTGAGAGGTAGGTCCGGGCATCTGACACTGAAAAGTTTTTTTGTGTGTTTGTTGTTGTTTTTAATTTAATTTGCTATGTTATCATGTAGTATTGTCAAAGAAATACTATCAATGAAAGTAGATGGGCCCACTGTAACAAGTTCTTTTAGAGTGATTTGTACAAGTTTAAAACACGATCAGATACGCATAAAATTTGATTTGAATTTATAAAATGTATTCTTGAGACAATACAACTATTAACACTGGTTTCACATTGTTGACTATACTGAAATCTAGTTGAACTGAAGTTCCAGAAGTGGTGGAACTGTTGTTACTCACTTATCTTTGATTTCGAAACGTTCATGCAGCCATCTTCTCATATGTTCTTGTTCTTCTGGGACATCTTTTTTGTCGATACGATCAATGTGAATATGAATTTTTGGACATTCTTTGCAGAGAAATTCTAGCAAACAACAAAAATAATTCATTTTGTACTATTTTAGAACTCATGGTCATATAAAGTAACATAATGGAAATAAGGTAATAGGACAAAAAAAGTTGTGAAATGATGGAAAAGTACAGATTCCTTAGCAAAAATAAACAAAAGTTAAAAAAAAATAAGGATTATAAACAGGTGGTTGGGGGTTTCAAGCTGAAGTAGAAGAGCATGTTATAATTTCTAAGTCGACTACAATTACGTAAGTCATTAAGTTAAATCAATAGTACCAAATGTAATTTTTCATGTGACAACTTTTAGTGCTATACGCAGCCCAGGAATGGGAAGCTGGAGCCTCCTCTAAGTCCATACTCACCTCTCTGAAGGGACTCCAAAATGCCTACTACCACCAGCCCCCATCCTAGTGTGTCACCTGTCACCACGGTGACTGCTGCCTCCCCACCAGATTGTGAGCGCCACAGGGGCCGAGAGGAAGCTGGTCTGGTTCACGATGGCACCTCTTTACCTGGCACACAGCTGGGCACTCACAGGCGCCTGATAATCCTCAACTCCTTTCTCGTCGCCTGACACACAGCTTCTCGTCACTGACTGCTACACAGCCACAACAAACTTGCGGGAGCAACCGCCCCTCCTCTCTAACTTGGCCATTGGTTTCTAATCATTGCTACTCCTTGCTTTCCTGATACCTGCCATATTTTAACATATTATATAATTGGTAAAATAACCAAAATTCTTACTGTGGAATAGCCTGTAAACAACTGTAGTTTTTAAGACTTGCTAATTTGAAAAAAGGAGACAGTCTTTTTCAGCCTCGATTGCACAACAGATGAGGCTATTATCTATCCCAAGAAAGAACTTTGAGCCTAGAAACTGCCTTCTTTGTAGGTGGCTCCTTGTGGAAAGGTAAGAATGTTAACATATTTAAGTTCCTTGGAGAACAAAGAAATATTCGTAAGATTTAAGAGCTGACTAAGGTAGGGAGGTGTGCCGAGTGGGACACTGAGACCTTTTGCCTGAAATTGAAAACGCGTTCAAAAACGTGTTCTGAGAAATGATGAATCCTACACTCCACTGTCCGAGGAACACTTGTCTTTGCTCTTTCAACCCCACACACTTCCCGTTTTTGCTAAGTACTCTCTGCAACTGCTCTTCTTGATTTCAGTGTCGAGCTCTCAGTAACATGCAGCATTTAGGTGATCAAAAATACCCTGTATTCTTATACGCTTCCAGGAGTAAACTGGCTTTAATCACACATGTGCGAAACAGTAAACAAAGATTTTAATTTTTCAATATTTTTGTCTTAATTTTCCTACAGTACTATCATCTGAAAAATCAAAGAACTGCTTACAAAGCATTTTCAGCAGCAGAACTGCGCCCTAGGGAAGCGCACACACGGTGCAGTCAAGCAGCCTGGGTCTCCACCTCTGGGCTAACCTTGGGCAACTCTGTCAGCCTCTCTGTGCCTAAGTGTCCAAGTCTATAAAATAGGGATAATAATAATAGCACCACTGAAAGGGTCACTCCAAGAAGATTTCAAGCACCTACAGGAGTGCTTGGCACACAGTATGCACTATGTGTTAGCTATTATAGTGTTTTAGCCACATATTACTTCTCACCCTATCTTATTTCTATTTCTGATACATAAAAAGACAGATTCCAATACTAATTTCCCTGCCTTCACTGAATTGTCTAGATCTCCACCTCAACATTTCCATAATTAACTAATCATCTGGTCAGCACTGCAAACACCCAATATTTCAAGCGCTGGCACACAGACTGTAAGGAAGATGGAACAGACTGCATTTCGAATGTCAGGAATAGAAAGCTTCGTGGAGTACAGTGCTCAGGACGTGGCAGGGCCTCTACTAAGACGCCAGCTTTGGAAGAAGGGGCAGTGCTGCTGTGAGGAAAGGACTCCAAAATCTGCATGGGTCCTTTTGTTTTTCCTAAAACTTACATGTGCTCAGAATGCGTTTACAGCATGCTTTTGAGTACGTTGATTATTTCATTCAATCTCTGCAATTCTACGCAGGCAGGGGCTGTTATTATTTCCTTGTAAGATGAAGAAACTAAGTCTCAGAGAGGACCAAGGCCCAGCGTAGGCATGGTGGGGCTGTAATAGCCAAGTCCCCAAGGTTCAGGACCCAGATAGGGACTATGAGAGGAGCAGGCAACAAAGTGGAAAGCAGTTCAATGTCAAATGACATTTAGGAGGTTCTAACACTGAAGGCAGGAAATACGTGGCATAAATACTTCCTATAGATTTAATAGAGTACTTATATATCCACATTTGCAAAAGCTATCTTAGTTGAAGCATAGTTCATATTACATGAGTAAAAATTACCCTATAGCACCTTAGGGAATCTAGGAAAAAATACTCTAAGGTATAACTGTTTTTCTACCTATAAATTTCTAGTAGGCACTAAAGTACACTGATATGCTTGGGTAATACAGAAAGTCTTCCAAGTATTCGTATGGGTTACAGGTCTATTTGCTGTAGAAACCAAGTCCCATTTGCTCTGAAGGCAACACACAGGACCCATAACCAACAGGATGAAGCTGGGTAGATAACTGCTGTTAAATCACATCAATGAACACTATATAGCCTTTAAAAAAAAAGTTATGGAAGTATATATACTGACATGCACAGCTGTTTATGACACACAAGAAAATATGAAGAACAGGAGCTACAGACACACACACAATCTCATCTTTAAAAAACACATAAAGGCACATACTCTCTCCAATATACAGACATTATAAAAAAGAGGATTTAAAGGAAAATATCCAAACTGTTAACTGGGGTTACAGCTGGACAGGTGAACTTGTGGAGATTTTTTCTTCTTCTTTTGGGTTATCTGTAATCCCCTCTTCCCTGATCCACTTTTTTTTTTTTTTTTTTGAGGCAGATTCTTGCTCTGTCACCCAGGCTAGAGTCCAGTGGCATGATCTTAGCTCACTACAAACTCTGCCTCCCGGGTTCAAGTGAATCTCCTACCTCAGCCTCCTAAGTAGCTGGGATTACAGGCGCCTGCCACTGTGCCCAGCTAATTTTTGTATTTTTAGTGGAGATGGGGTTTCACCGTGTTGGTCAGGCTGGTCTAGAACTCCTGACCTTGTGATCCACCTGCCTTGGCATCCCAAAGTGCTGGGATTACAGGCATGAGCCACTGCGCCTGGCCTCCATGTTTTTAAATATAAAAATATGAATAGACATGGAGAGTATATATGTTGTAATATGAAAATACTGGTAGAAAAAACTTAACTAGGATCACACACAATACTTAAATAGAATATCAAATGTTGTCCTTAAGCACACAGTTTATTATATTACACCAGCCATTTCAGAAATATAATTTAAAAAAAATCAATAGTAATCAAACTACCTTGTCTCATCTCTGCCGCAATGACATCTTCCATGATGACAAGAAGGAGTGAACCATGCGAGAATGCCCAGGTGGGCTTTGATTTATACCTCCCTTAAAATGAAACTTACACCATAAAACGGGAAGGACAAGGGACACTACTGGCTGCCTCTCTCTTCAACATGAGACCTCATGGAGGTGACCGCAAGAATTCCTGTAGCATTTGTTAGCACTGCAGCTTCTACCGCTTCCCTGTAGAGCGTCCTGGTAGCAACGTGGAGTGGAGCAGAGGCTCTGCATGTTCAACAATCACTGCAGCTAATACTGACAAACAGTGATCCCCCAGAATGCTTTCAGAAACACTGGGCCACGGCACATCAACAATCTAACAACTTCATGAAAAAAATTATTTCTTAATTGCACCATAAAATATGAATATTAAATCACCTGCTATATATAGATAACATTTAATACTAATGAAATTGGCCACAAAGTACTTAGAGTATTCCAAGTTACAGAATTTTATACCTAACACAACTTATACCAGATTTCATATAATTTAAAGTGACTATTAATCTAAAGTAGATTATAACCAGACCAGAACACCCATCAATTCATATAAACAACTGAAAGCAGGGCTGAGTCAGTGACAGAAAACAAAAAAACAATGAAAGCAGGGTTTTTCAAGCTACGGGTTAAAAGCAACACACTAAAAGGAAAAATGTGTTATTATTATGTCTTATGTGCACAGGTATACATGTAGCATAATATCTCAGAAAGTGGGAATGCTAAATCTAAAATGTGAATGCATTTGTATATCTGAGATAAATGTCCAAAGCAACTTCTACAGAGATTTATACTATATTGCATTCCTAAGAGCAAAGTATAAAAATGGCTGTTAATACTTTAATCTCACCCACTGAGCCTATGATCAAACCTTGGGATGTTTGTCCACCTAATGGATTAAAAAAAAAAAAAAGGTATCCCCTGTAGTTTTAATTTGCACTTATCTTATGAATGAGGTTAAATGTAAAATGTCTGTTCTTGTCCTTTACCCATTTTTCTTTCTAGTTATCAGTCATCTTCTTGTCAATTTGTAAGTGTACTTTATACATGAAGGAAATGACCCCTTTTCTATGATCTAAGTTGCAAATAATTTCCCAGTTTGTCTTTCAATCCCGATTTTACTCTGGTGTATTTTTCCTTTAATTCAGAAATACTTTATCCTTGACTGAAGTGGTAAGATTTTATTTTCTTTTTGGTATCTGGGTGTCAGAAAGGTCAACCTTTCGAAAAGAGACACAATTTGTAATGAATACACAGAGGCAGTGACCACCCCAAAGCCACAGTCAGCTCACATGTAGCAGAGGATAAGCAGGGCAGTGGGAGGTTGGAACCCAGGCAATGCAACTCAAAGAGGGTTTTGGATTCCTCAAGGCACTTGCGATGCAGCTGGGAAGAGAGAAAGACAGAGCCCTGTGCTAAGTGCCAGCACTGTAACACATGCCGTCAGTGCCACAGCAGTACTGCGAGAGCAGGGGTAGAAGGCACAGTGCTATGCTGGGAAAGGCGCCACCTATCACTCTGGGGGAACAGTAGGCTTGGATGAGGGCAACAAAAGAGAGGGTGGTTTCCTGTGGAAAGCAGGATTGGCCACACAAAGTCTTTGACTACTGAATATGCATGAGGTGCAGGAGGACTCAGTCAGCCAGGTTCACCAAGGCAGAGGCTTCACGGCACAGTGCAGGACGAGGCGAAGGCAAGGCAGAGCTCAAGGCTGGAACACAGTCCTCTGAAAGCAGGCTATAGAGGCTGGCATTACCCATGAACTCTGCTGAACCAACGGGTTCTTAGACAGGAGGGGACATGATAAAAGTAGCAGCATTTAAAGTTATTATGGGGAGTCTATCTGTTTTTCATTGGTTATAAACACTTGTTTAATCTTAAACTATGTTTAATAAACTAATGACAATCTTGCTGAACAACTAAATGTCTTGTTTTCAAATGCAAAAATAGGTAAATAACTCCTTCAATAGTTTAAAAGAGAAAAATATTAATATGCCACTTTTTTATAAGAAGGGAGGGACGGTAGAATAAGAATATATCTGACAATAGCTCAAAGGTTCTTAAAACCTAACATGTTTGACAAAAAAAAAGGTCACACTTAACTGTATTTCTTCTTGTCACAATGACACCAAATTTCATAAATATTTTATGAAAAATACAGCAAAAGGGCAGCACTAATAATGTGCACCTCAGTACTGCCAGGGGCGTGCTCCTTCTTCACGCCTTCCTCCCCTTTACAGAGCGCTCCATTTGTATGTGTGAACTCTGAGTAGAAAGAGGCCGGATTAACGATAACTGGTTAGTCCACAGGACTAATACGACAGCCAAGAAACACCGCACTTTGCAGGACTAATGAAATTTCAACTGTTACATCTTAATAACATCTTGAAAAATACACCGGGTAAATGTAATGAAGGAAAAAAGTTCACTTAACCTACTTTGCAAAACTCAATTCTACATAAACATATGTATGCACCATATACATCGCGTGGCAGGCATTTCAGGTGCATGAACACACTTACCCGTCATGGTCGGTGACTCTCTTCGCTGCCCTCCATTGTCCTTCCCTTCGTAAACCACCGTAACATCATAAATTGCATCTAAGTAATTCTTCATGCAATCAAAAGCAACGTGAGTTGCCTTTATTCGTGGTGTCAGCACATGTTTTAATACTGCAAGGCCTAGAAGAGAAGTCAATTCCATGTTGTCATTAGTTACACAACACCTCCACAATAAAATATATTGTTGAACATCTACATTATTTTTAAATTCCCTCAAATAAACACACCAGAATCTATTAATGCCACAACCTCCTATCTTTAGGGCTTTAAGTTTAGAAAGCACTCTCACTTGCCTTTTTCTGTTTAAATCAATATTCATTTGCTATATATTGATCAAATATCTACATGTACAAGTCACCATGCTGGAAGTTTATGGCCTACTGGAAACGCTTCAATCTAGTAAACCCTGGCAAGGGTAAATATCAGTGCCCTCGCTTCTGGCCACTGAACAAAGGTGATAGCAACTTGCCCATGGTGACTCAAGATTTCCTAGCAATACAGTCACACAGCACATGGCCTCCTGTGTCTGGCTTCTTTCACTCAGCATGGATCTGAGGTTCATCTGTGTGGCTGCAGGTCTCAGTGCTTCATTCCTTTTTACGGCTGAGTAATTTTCCGTCTTGTGAACAGATCACATTTTGTTGACCTATTCATTGCTTCATGGATGTTTGGGTTGCTTCCAGACTTTGGCTATTATGAATAATGCTGCCATGAACATTCATAGGAACTGCAAATGAAGGCTGCACATGAACAAGCTTTTGCATGAACATACGATTTCATTCCTCTTGGCTATATCTGACATATTTTTAAAAGGTTCTTTAGCTGGGGGACTACTGCAATTATCCAGAACAAATTGCATTCATCAGGTTCCTACTAGGGTTAAGGATTTTGTTCTCCTCTCCTTCCTATTACCTCCCTTTTCCTTGATTAAAATATTTACTGACAATGTAACAGAAAACAGTAGTTCTCAATAAGTGACATGAAAATAGACTACACAAAACTAGTCTAGATTTTCTACTGGCCTCTCTCCAGGGAAAGCAGCTGAGTAAGGAAGAACAGCTATTACATGGTGGGACTGTCCCACACAAGAGTTTTTAAAATGCAGGGTGGTGTGGGAAAGACAAAGATTCCCACAAGCACATATCTGACTTTAGTCCCCAGGGCAGGGGCAGTTAAACTGATTCACGAACTTACAACAAAAATCTCAATCACATACCAAGCTGGGAAGCATTTATTTGTCAATTAAACTAGTTAACACTTCCTTCTTTGCTACTGGAGCTCATCCAACTTTATGAAGTCCAAAGTTTCAAAACATCACTCTGTGGTGTTCACTAAAACAACTAATTACTAGAATCCAAGTAAGTTAGTAGGGAAATAAAGACAGAAAGGTAGTATTTTTAAAACATAAAGGGAAATGAATTATCATGAAAGTTTAAAAAAAATAGCTTTGTGACATGAATCATAGCCATTAATGATACGTAAACAAAACTAAAAAAAAAATCTTCTAATGAAGGAATACACTGGGAATAGCTTCAATTATTCCAAACATTTTCTGTATCAAATTGTCTGTATCAAATCCAAATCCTACATAGTCCCGGTTTTAGTATCCAACTCTTGAAAAGGAATAGCCAATGAAGATGAGGAAAAACAAGGGGACTGTGGTGGTGACACAGGTGCGCCAGAAGAACACAGCTCAGGAAGAGCAAAGCGCTCAGCTGCGTTTGCTGGAAGACACTTGAAAGGCCCAGAACGGAGACATGACTCCCAGGCACAATGGAGGGTCCATGACATCTTGATCGATATTTTCAGTGCAGTGGTGGGAACGGTGGGAACTGAAGCTCAAAAAGTGGGTTCAGTGAGGTGCCAATATGTGAGGTGAGAAAAAAATAAACCACAGCAAACTCTTTCCTGGATTTATTAACAAATGGTCTATTAATTTCCAACGGTTAGAATAATATGAGAAGCTTTTACTATTAAAACAAATAAAACCTGGCCCTTCTTGGATAACTCCAAAGTCACTTTCCATTTCTAAACCAGAGCTCATAATAAACTCTAGTCCACACGGGGAATTATTTACAACCTCTGACCAAGCGGTCACCAACTCTCAACAGTGATAAGAGTTAAAACAAAAACAATTTTATAGTAATAATATCGAGGCCAATTAGAATTTCGATAGAGAGAAACCCAAATAATGACATATTCTTAATTAACTGCTCTAGCTTGAGCCAACCATATTGAGATCTGACTACTTTCCAGGGAACTACATAAAGGCCTGAGCCCAAACAGAGAAATGTGGTAGCTATTCAGTTACTTCTTCCTGGTCACGATCTAGTGTCTGTTCTGATACCTGCTTTGCCTTGTTTCCCTCTCCAGAGCTCCTGAATTTCTATTTAATGCTAACGACGGCCTAGCATACCCTTTGACTGAGTTTCTCCCTAAGGGTCATTTGCGGTACTGGTTGAGTATAACTAAAATTTTGCAGTTAGTATTACATTTTGGAAACATTATGAATAAATGAAAATACACTGGACAAAAAAACTTTAATGATCCCTGTAGAGAATTTTACATTTATACACAGAATTTAGTCTGCAATGTATTTAATATATATTATCTCACTTGATTCTCAGAAATTAAGTAATTGAGGCTCAGAGAGAGAAAATCTTGCTCAAAGTCACACAGCTAGAAAGACCTTATAATGTCTGGTTCAGTATTTTTCTATGCCATAATTAATAAGATACTATTCTGAAACTATAAATCAGTTAAAGATTAATGAGACAATAAAAAAATTTAAATAGCTACAGGACATGACAGAATGTCTTAAAAGAGATAGAAGATATTCTCAGAAGGTAAAAATATTACTCATACTTCAGGGTTTTTTGAAATCACACATATCTGATTGGTGAAAGCTTCAGGGAAAAGCACACTGGAGAGACGCCAACGTGGAGGTATACAGCACACAACGGCGGGCAGAAGGACTTGTGAACCAAGGTACAGAAGCAGGGACCCGGGAGGCCTCTGGAGCACTTGTGCAGAGCAGGAGGGGCTAAGTGTGACAAACACACCAGGTCACACTGCTGTAAGCTTCAGAATAAACACTGATCTGTAGGAGCACAAGGATTGGAGGCCAAAGAACAGACTGAATCTAGGTGCAAAGAATAACAGTTCTAAGTTTCACAAAGAGTTTTGGACATTCAGTCATAAAGCAACAAAGTCCTGAATTAGGAATGAAGCAGTGAAAACTGAAAAGATAAAATGTAATAAAGTGAACACCAAATATATAGTGAATCAGCAACTGACTGAACGTGGTCACAGGGGAAAAGGAGAAAAACAATAACTAGGCTTCTGCTCCAGAAGGCATAGACAAGGCCACGCCATAACTAGATGGGGAACGGCCAGGAGGAAGACATGCAGAGCATGCCGGCGTGCACGCCCCTGCCATGCAAAGAGAGAAGTGGGAGGGCAGCAGGCAGGGAAAGAAAGAGAACATTGAGCTGGGCGCCGTGGCATGTGTGTGTCTGCAGTCCTAACTACTCAGGAGGACTGCTTTAGCCTGGGAGTTGGGGAGCGGGCGAGAGAAGGAAGGGAGGGAGGGAGGAGAATAAAGAAAGAAAACAGAAAGAAACAGAGAAGGAGAGAAAGCAAGAGAGAACGAGTGAGGGAAGGAAGAAAGGGAGGGAGGAAAGGAAGGAAAAGAAGGAAGGGAGAGAGAGTGAAAGAAAGAAGGAAGAAAGGGGGGAGAGAGAAGATGAGTTCAAATTGGGCATACTGAGGTTGAAGTAACAAAACATTCTAGAAGTAGTTGGAAATATGGTCTGTAAAATGGCAAGAATCAACCAAAGCTAAGCATGTGGAAATCGTGGGAATGGATAACTGAAGTAATGGCAGTGGCTGAGAATAATAAAGGGCAGAAGATGAAAAGGCAAGAAATACAGACTACGGAAACATCCATATTAAAAAAAAAAAAAAGGTAAAAATAATAACAGGGAATAGGACAAGCCAGGAAATAAAAAAAAGGGGGGAAACCAATGTAATACAAACACCAAGGGAAGAGAATGTTTAAAGGAAGAGGAGGTGATATTTATCTTCATAAAGAAAAATAATACTCCGTTGTTTATTTCTACAATAAAGTTAAAATTGTTTTCTGGTTATAAAGTTATAAAAATGCTGAAAGTTAACAAATATGACAACTGACACAAATCATATGATGCTTTGGAGGTCACTGGTAAGTCAGAAGTGGGATACATTTCTGGAGACTGGATGGAGTCAAATACAAGAAAGCAAGGGGCCCAAACTTCTCTTTGCACAGCTACAGACTTAGTTATTTCAGAATGGGAGTATATTTGCAAGCTGGGAGAAATCCCAGCAGAGAAGTAAGGCTGACTGACGCAATGATGGAGATAGGGTAGATGGAATCAAGAGCTTAGAAACTGTTGACGCTGCCATGTCTAAGAAGAAAATTTTTCTCCAAAGTTTTCTTCTTAGACATGGCAGCTTCAGCAGTTTCTTCCAAAGAAATCAAGTCAAGAGAGTCCACATTAAGATTTTGAAATCAAAAGGGATACTGGGTACACTGTTTCCAGAGAAACATTACTTTCTGAAGGCAAAAAATCCTTGAATGTGAGGAGAAAAAAAATCCATGAAAACCATAAGAGTAGTCAAAAGGAGAAAAATAAAAACTGCTCCGCACAGACTTGGCTGGGCTGAAATGAAATGGCCTGGCTTGGCTGCAGAAGGCAGTCAGCATTGATCTTATAATGTTCTCCACTGCTAAGGAAGGGAAAAAACAAACAGGGTTGCCAAGGGCTGAGGAAAGGCAGGGCAGGAACAGAACAGCCCAGCATTGGGATGGGCAGACCCCAGGGCTGGGGCAGACAAGAGCTGCAGAAGGGCCAAGAAAAGACAGGTTAGAAATGAGCCAAAAACACAGGTTCAGAGCAAGTGAGGAGGAGGGAGAACCAGAGTCAGCTCCGTGGTGCGGGTGACCCAGTGCCATTTCCAGACGAACTTCAAGGTGGTGAAAGCAGAGCATTCAGCCACGCACAGGACTCCACACAAGAGAACAGGGCCTCCCCCCAGGAGCCTCCACAAAGGACTGTAGCTCTGCCAACACCTTGACTTCAGCTAAGTGAGACCCTTTCCAGACTTCTCAACTGTAAGAGAAGAAATGTGTGGTGTTTTAAGCCACCAAGTTTGTGGCAATTCCTGAGAGCAGCCATAGGAAGCAAATACCCCTTCTTAAGGGTGAGAGTGCCGTTACCACCCAGAGCTGAGCACTAGCTTTCTTGTTTGCTATGCTGACTTTCAGAAGTTGGCTTCAAAGTATTAATTTAATTTCTACTTTGATTATGAGAAAGAAGAAATACTTGTTCAAGTGTGTGGGTCATTTGTATATCTTGAATTTCTTATTCATGCCCTTTTCCCATTTTTCTGGTTTATGTCTTTTCTTACTAATTAGGAAGCACTTTTGCAATATTAAGTATATTAATATCCTATATTATAAATTATTATTAGCTTGCTATTTGCCAACTAAATTTGTTCATATGATGTTTGAGACATAAAAATAATGTTTATTCAGTTGTCTACAAAGAAAGAAATTGCTTTGTAGCTTATTCCCTTTGTTCTCATGTTTTGAAAGGACTCTCGAATCTCTATAATCGCCAGTGTTATTCATCCTATGAATAACATGCAAATTCTAGATATATGGTTTGCCATTATAGACACACCATTACATTTCTGTTTTCTATTATGAGAGTTCAAAAAGCTTAAGTATGTCACCTTCGCTAGCTACTATGGTTTTAACCATGGCAGTTAAAAACAAAACAAAACAACAACAAAAAAACCACCATAGGGGCCCACTTTAATGGGTTCAGGTAGCAGATTAAGATACATTTAATTCCAAATTCCTTAAAACCACTAGAAAGCCAAATATCTAAAACAATACCAAGGAAAATGAGTTAAAACAAAACCCTTCATACAGCTGAGAAAAGTTGAAATATTACCGCAGTGCCTGCACTTCTGCAAGACCCCGTATGAACAGCTTCTTCCTCCATGTCTAAGTTTCCTATAAGAGGTATGCAACTGCTATCAATTTGTTCTTTCTGTGAATAAAACTTAGGCAAAAAAACTGAATGATGGAGTTACCAAGACAAGAAATATGAGTGTATGCATGGAAGGATAAATTCTTTTTTTTTTTTTTTTTTTTTTTTGAGACTGAGTCTGGCTCTGTCGCCCAGGCTGGAGTGCAGTGGCCGGATCTCAGCTCACTGCAAGCTCCGCCTCCCGGGTTTACGCCATTCTCCTGCCTCAGCCTCCCGAGTAGCTGGGACCACAGGCGCCCGCCACCTCGCCCGGCTAGTTTTTTGTATTTTTAGTAGAGACGGGGTTTCACCGTGTTAGCCAGGATGGTCTCGATCTCCTGACCTTGTGATCCGCCCGTCTCAGCCTCCCAAAGTGCTGGGATTACAGGCTTGAGCCACCGTGCCCGGCTGGAAGGATAAATTCTATCTTCAATATGCTGAGTTTGAGACATCCCTTTGGGCCAGTCAAACGAAGCTCTCTAGTGGACAATTGTACAAATGGGTCTAGAGTTAGGCAGAGAGATATGGAGGGGAGGAAGCTTTTGTGAGTCATCACCAGTCAAGTAAACAGTGGCTCAGGCCATGGATTTAGAGGAAGACCACCATGAGAAACGAAAAGTGAAATTAATATAAGACCAAAACCTGACATTGGAAGTAACACATGAAGCAGGGAAAAAAGCAGAAAGAGGCTGGAAGGCTAGGAAGTAATCACCAGAGAGTTGGGAGGATAACGAACAGCCCCACAGAAGTCTAGGGAGAGAATTTCAGATCAGACCAAAACAAATTGAGGGCAGAGTGAGTACTGAAAACAGTGCTTACAACAAAGGTAGACTACAGATTCAGAAGACTTTGGCTGTTACGGAAAGGGGGAAAAGTGGGTGCTAGGAAGAGGAAAACATAAATTTGAGAGAGAGGGGTTTTTATTTTGTTCTGTTTAATAAATGGGAAAAGGGCAACAGAGATAATGGCGTTGCAAAAGAGCAACTGAAATGACAGAACGTGATGTCTACTAGACAGAGGAAGCAGTGAAAGTCAAAAGGGAGCTGACAGATTGAGAGACAAACTGAACCCTCCTATTCTGAACCACTCCTCAATAGGACATGTGTTTAAAAACAAACGGGCATTTTTTAAATGTACTGTTACAAATGATGTCATATTGTAAGAACCTTGTAAAAGTTCCCCCTTATCATTTTTAATTAAACTAAAATTAAATAAAATTAAAAATTCATTGCATGCACTAGTTACATGTTGAATGCTCAAAAACCACACTGGTCGGGGCCAGCACACTGGACAGAACAGATAAAGAACTTCACCATTATTGCAGAAAGTTCCATTAGATGACACTGTCACAGGCCCTGGCGTAATGTCACAAACAAGGTATTTGCTCAGTAAGTGACTATCAACATTTGGAGATCACATACTAAATCATAGTCTAGCTTCAAAGACACCTCTAAGAACATAGCATAGCCACTGTTTTCTCTATACTTCCCAATTTGGTTAAATTGCATAACTTATTGGTGTATCAATTATCCAATTTTCTAAAATACGGATATTAAGAACATTACCATTATTGAGGACATTAATAGCTTCCAAGCACTGTGAGCCAACTTTGTGTAACTTCTCCATTAGAAACTTGACATATTTTCTAATCTAATTCTCACACAGATTTAGATCTACTTACAAGGCATATGTTCTTTTAAGAGATGAAGAAGCAAGCTCAGTCTCATTACGCAACTTGCAAGGTGCAACCATACAGCTAATAAAAGTCCAAGTTCGGACTCCAACTTACGTCTGTCAACTTACAAAACAGAAGCTCCATTACACATAACCTACACTGTAGAAAAAGCTTCCATCTACATAATCATGTTCTTAGATAGATTTTAAATAAATCCATGGCACAAGAATATGTATCGTAACAAGCACTTGAACTCAATTTCTCAGATATATGTAATAATAGCATGCAAGTGAATTAAGGAGAAGAAACTTCATTTCCTAAGAGATAATATGTACATTAATTCAAGGAATGAATACATTCATTCTTTCAATTGTAAAACAAAAGTATCTTTTCCAGGAAGAAAAACTAAAAATGTTATTATCTTATTTGTTCAAACACTGTCAAATTTTTACTTACCACGTTGGGCAGCAAATGCCTGACTAGCTGAAAGGACTTTTGTTTGCTCTGGATTATACCTTGTACCTTCTGGAAAAATCACAAGATACATCTGTGGGACATAGAGCAAATTTGGTTTATTTGGTGTGAACTTTGTTGTTGTTATTGTTGTTAACTTAAAAAGCTAAACCTACTAATGCTAAGAGAGTATTTCCTACAGTAGGGGAAAATGTATATTTATTTACACGTGACCTTCATTTCAGGCAGAGCAAACAAAATGTAACAATTCAATTAAGTCTGAACATAAAGTGAAATATATTTTAAATGCAGTGCTACATTCATTGGTAGGTCAGCCATGAAGAATCTAAAAACATTTCTAATTACACGCTAATAATTCACTAACTAAAAATAGGCCATGAAATGCTGACTCATACAAAGCCTCAATGACTTTTTTCCCTTTGAGATCCTGTAAAATGTCATTTTTAGAAATATAAATTTTAGAAATCAGTATCCTTAAGTACCAACACTAAAAAGTACCTCATTTGAGGAAAATCATATACCAAATTCCCACCATGTAAAAGGTTCAAAATGTTCACATTCAAAAGCTTCACACGAAATTCCTATTTTACATAGCTCCTTTAGTGCATTTAAAATTTTATTTATAAGTAACCTCATTTGTTATATAAACTGAAACTAAAATAATATAAAGAAGAATATCAAGCTGGATGTTTAATAAGTAATCAATTAGTCTAAGTTTTTACACTTATCTGCTTAGGAAAGTAAAAACAGAAACATTAAAATTATACAGCAAAAACTCCTAACTTGAGAACCGAGTTACAAAATCTACACTAATAACTTTGATTGACAGCCGAAAGACAAAAATAAGATATGCATACTAAATCTTTTCAGATACAAACAGAATACAGAAAACAAGACAGGAGCTCATGGGAGAAAACTATGTTCATTGGATCCATTCTTGCCAGATCTCAGACAGTACTCAGACAATACTGTCTACCTCTGTACATCTGGTACAGAAGCCTTCCTTCATCTGGATGGCCTCTGATGATAAAGCTCCTACTGAAAAACCTACGTGGGACTGAGTTTTTTCTTTAGATACTGGTATAATGGTATCTGAAAATGTTGTACTTTCAGCTTCCATGCAAATATGCAAGCTTTTTGTTCATTCATGTAATAGTCTCAACACCCACGCCGGACTTAGAAATTAACAGATACTATATGTGTTTTTAATAATGAAGATTGATCAGATCTGTTAAGAAAATGTAGAAAAATGGGTAAAATTTGGAAAAAAAATACAAAATTCCTTATTATATTCCAGTAACTAGAAGGAAAAACGGGAAGACAAACATTAAAGCTAGTTCTAAAAACCACATTCATTTTCATGAAAATGTATTTTGTATCAGTAAGGTTTATATTCAAAGCCATGAAAGCAACTACTGTGGGGTATCAGCTTTTAACTCAATCATTTATAAATAAAATGATTATTTCAAAGGTTAATAACTCATGTGGTATCATTTGCTGTGTCTTGATGTTTAATTTAAAAGAACATTGACAGACAACAAGAAAGAGTGAATTCATTCAGAGCTAATTCGGAAACTATTTCTTATAAACTTATTATGTTCCAGAAAATGCACACAGGATAACAACACACATGGTCCTTCCCTTCATGGACAAGTAAGGAAAAGAAATACATTAAACAGACTAATAAAAACATGTAGGTACATATCATGATATGATTGCAAAGAAAAAGAACAAGGTGTGATGAAGGAAAATGATGAGAAGAAATTTAGGAAGGGCAATGGGGCTAGGACCTAAAGAATGGGTAAAAGAATGAATGCTTTTCCCTAAAGATGAGGAATATGGAAAGGATTTCCCTCACACCAGTTCTACTCAACGCTGTACTAGGAGGTCTAGCCAGAAAATTTGGCAAGAAAAAGAAATAAAAGCCATCAAGACTAAAAAGGACAAAGTAAAACTGTTATTTCTATAACAATGACGTGATTGCTTATGTAGGAAATCCTAAGGAATATCTTTTTTAAGTTACCAGATAATGATTAAGTTTAGCAAGGTTGGTATATTAAAAAATTATATGCCTAGGTCAACGATCAAAAACTTGAAAATTTTTTATATGTCTTCTACAATAGCATCAAAAACTAAAATTCTTAGGGATATATCTGGCAACAGATGTGCAAATCTGTACATTAAACTACAAAACACACTGAGATAAATAAAGAAATAAGTAAACAAATGCAGGTTATGTTCATGAACCCAAAGATTCAGTCCTGTTATATCAATTCTTCCCAAATTCATCTATACCTTCGATACAATCAAAATGAAAAGCCCACAAACTTTGGGTAGAAACTGTCAAGCGAATTCTGTAGTTCATATAGAAATGCAAATAACCTAAAATAGCCCAAACAACTTTGAAAAGAAAGAACAAATTTAGAAGACAACTACAGTATTTAAAAATTTATTACAAAGCAAGCATTATTAAGACAGTATGGTATTGGCATAAGGATACACATATAGATCAACATAACAGAACAAATAGTCCACTGATCTAGGGATAACAGACCCATCTATATTCAGTCTACTTATTTCAAACATTGGGGGAAAATAATCTTTTCTATAGTGACGGTTATCTATATTTAAAAAATATAAACTTCGACCTTATACCATATAAAAATATTAATTAGAAATAAATCCTAGAACTAAATGTAAAAGCAAAACTCTAAAATTTCCAGAAGAAAATAAAGGAGAAAATCTTAGCAACCTGGAGTTTGGCAAGGACTTCTTAAATAGGATATAAAAAGCGGAAATTATGAGAGAAAAAAAAATCTATAAATTAAGCTTAAAAGTATGTTCTTCAAAAGATACATTAAATTTATAAAAATAAAAAAATACGTTCTCAAAAAAGATACTATTTATAAATAGGAAAAAGCAAGTAACAGATGCAAAAACCTTGTACAGGAACATTCTTAGGAGCGACAGGCTCACCTCATTTTATCATGCTTCGCTTTACTGAGCTTCACAGAAATTGCATTTTTTCCCGTTGAAGGTTTATGACAACCTTGCATCGAGCAAGTCTACTGGTGCCATTTTTCCAACAGTATGTGCTCACTGCACATCTCTGTGGCATATTTTAGTAATTCTCACAATATTTCATATTATTATATCTGTTATTGTGATCTGTGATCTCTGATGTTACTATTGTAATTGTTTGGGGGTGGCATGAATTGCACCCATATAAGATGACAAATTTAATTGATACATGTCGTGTGTGTTCTGACTGCTCCACTGATGGCCCGTTCCCCTGTCTCTCTTTATCTCTGCCGCCCCTTGGGCTTCCCTATTCCCTGAGATACAACAACATTGAAATTAGGCCAATTAATAACCCTATAATGGCCACTAAGCGTTTCAGTGAAAGGAAGAGTCGCATGTCTCTCATTTTACATCAATAGCTAGAAACGGCTTAGTGAGGAAGCTATGTTGAAAGCCAAGGCGGGCCAAAAGCTAGGCCCTTTGCACCAAACAGCCAAGTTGTGGATGCAAAGAAAAAGTTCTTAAAGAGAATTAAAAGTGCTACATCATTGAACACAAGAATGATTAGAAAGCAAAACAGCCTTATTGCTGAAAACGAGAAAGTTTGAGTGCTCTAGATAAAACATTAAACAGCCACAACATTCCCTTAAGGCAAATCCTAATCCAGAGCAAGGCCCTAACTCCGTTTAATTCTCTGAAGGCTGAGAGAGGTAAGGAAGTGACAGAAAAAAAGTCAGAAGCTAGCAGAGGTTGGTTTGTGAGGTTTAAGGAAGGAAGTCATCTCTTCATAACATAAAATTGAAGTGGCAAGTACTGATGTATAAGCTATAGCAAGTTATCCAGAAAATCTACCTGAAATAAAATAAAGATTAAACAGAAGATCTGGGATTTAAACATGAATCTAATTTCAAAACCAATACTCTTACCCACCAGGCTGCCTCTTATCTGAAAAGGACCTTAAGTGAAAGCTGGAAGAAAAAGTGTAAGTCTCCATATTTGTGCCGTAAGTTTTACTAGCTCATATTCTAACCAAATGACTTCCATTAGTTATTTTTATCACAAGTATGCTTCATTTGCATCCACAACCAATAAGTACCTTAATAAAATACTGCATTGTCCCAGCAATAATTATGGAGATGTATTTCTTCACAATTTATAATACAAATATAATTTTTGAAACAAAATTCTGCATTTCTTAAATACTAATACCAAATAAGAGCTGATATAATCATGAAATAGATTCACTAGAACTATTAAGCCACATGAAAACTGGCTTAACATATTCTACCATGTCACTTACTTAATCCACCTTCAGAAAGAAAAGAATCATCAAGAACCTGAGTAAGATGTACCTGCTCTCACACGGCGTACATATTAAGAAATGAAACAACCATCCAGATTCTTAGAAGCCCCACCTGAGACAGCGACAGCTGCTCAGCACTGCCTCTTGAACCTGCCAGTCTGTTATCCATACTGCACTAGGAACATAAAAGGCTGGAATTTTGCCCACAAAAAACAGGAAGGCTATTCTGGTAGCCCATAACAGACTAGGTTATTTGAACCAAGCTTCCTACTGAAAACAACTTAAAAAGCTGGATATAACATTATTTTAAAAGTACCCAAGAGTTGGCAAGATGTTAAGACCGAAATTAAGCAAACACAGTAAAGCAGAAGTAAGCATAAAACAGAACTTTGTTTTACAAGACTCAGAAGATGAGGGGAACAGAAACCAAAGCCCACAGACCTTCCAATATAAATGTGAAGAGAGAATCAGAAGGAAACACCAAAGGCTCCACTTTCAGGGTGAAAGTAAATGAGAGGTGAGCAGGTCTCCTGTGCATCTACAACCCTGGTCGCACTGCCTGAATGGCTCAGTTCACCTTCAACTCAGAATTTGGTTTGGGTGGGGCCCACACTAGAGGAGCCTGAAGCGGCCCAGCTAAAACAGGCAGAAATGTTCTCTGGAGAAAGACACTCCCACCTGAGGCTTCAACTGATTTCCACAAATAACTTACCAAATACAGCCAGAAGCAAAGGAAGATAACAGAGCAAACAAGGAAAGAAAGTACCATGAGCAAGAACCAGCAAAAAACAACAGACTCAGACAGGACTTTAGGCACTGAAATAACCCAACACATCTACACACCTTTTAAATTATGCCTTTAACACTTAAAGAAACAAAGACAAGCTTGAAGATTAAAACCAAAATAACAGATTTGATAAAAACCATATAGCACTTCATATAACGAAAAACAATAAATTTAAAACACTGAAGGTGAATAGATTTGTATCTATTCTGGATTGTATTTTAGAACAGAAAAAGGACAACCCGGTAAAGTCTGAATAAAAATCTGTAGTACAATTAACAGTGTGGTACCAACGTTTATTTCTTAGTTTTGACAAATATATACCATGTTATGTAAGATGTCAACATTAGATGTTAAAGCTAGATGAAGAAGGCTGGGCGTGGTGGCTCAAGCCTGTAATCCCAGCACTGTGGAAGGCTGAGGCTGGTAGATCACGAGGTCAGGAGTCCGAGACCAGCCTGGCCAACATGGTGAAGTCCTGTCTCTACTAAAAATACAAAATTTAGCCGGGCATCGTCGCACATGCCTGTAATCCCAGCTACTCAGAAGGCTCAGACAGGAGAATTGTTTGAACCCAGGAGGCAGAGGTTGCAGTGAGCCAAGATCGTGCCACTGCACTCCAGCCTGGGTGACAGACCGAGACTCCAACTCAAAAAAAAAAAAAAAAAGCTAGATAAAGAATAAATAAATGGGAACACTCTGTTCTTTCTGACGTTTCTGTAAATCTAATATTGTTCCAAGTTTTGAAATTTATTAACCAAAAATGAGAGGAGGCTTCCATGAAGTATGTAGAATGCTGAAGGAATACTACTCCCAACCCTACAGCAACAACAACACTGACAAACTGTAGATTCATGACTTTTCTCAGATCCTTCAGAGAGCCGAAAGGTTGCAAGGCAACCAATTAATCCAAAAGTCTAAGGAAAGACAGAAAACTCAAAGGAGAAACAAGATGCAAGTGCTTGTTTACTTGGGGGCCAATGCTAACATTTAGCTAAAAATTTTAACAATTGTGCAGAAAGCCAAGCATAAGCTGGTGGAACAGATGAACCCCTGGGCTACAGACACAAGGAGAATGCAGCACAATTTACAGGCTCGACCCACAGACCTCCTGTGTACTCACAAGATAAAGAAAAAGGAAAACACACTGGGGTCAGGGAAGACTGGCTGTAGGCTTGCGGGATGGAACAGCAGCCCTGTGGGAAAGGCTCAGGGCCCAGCCCACATCCTTCTCTGTACGTTTCCTATGGAACAGCAGCCGGAAACTGATGAACAGGGGCAACAAAACCCTGCTACCCATGGGGCACGGATGAATACTCGATGAGGCTGGGCGAAGAGAACAGGGAAAAATTCTTAGTGAAGGCAGGAATACATCCTGGGCAAGACTTACAGCCAGAAGCAAGGCAGGAGCAGAGAAGGCTCCACCCCTGAGATTCTCCCTAAGAATAAAGACACTTCCCTTCCTTCTCCTTCTACCACCGAACTAGCGAGAGTTCAGTAACAAGTATCAGAGAAGTACAGTGGGGAAAGGCACAAAGAGGAGAGCCACTCCGAGGTGCCATGTGAAAATGCTGAGTGTGAAACAGACACTGAGGAAAAGCTCTATCGGGAGGATGTCCCCAGCCTACACACAAAGTAATGCAGCTATAGAAACCTGAAGCTGTGAGAAAAAGCACATGAGCAAAACCCAAATCCAGTGCACCTCCTGAGTGGACTGACTCAACTCCTCAACACCAAAGGCTGAGCAGAAAGACAAGTCTACCCATTTCCAGGTATCAAGACACCTTGCCTCCATTTCTACTGTCTTACAAAAAAGCCCTAGCATTCGGCAGAATCTTAGGAAGTGTGACAAAGGCAAGATAAAGTACAATCTGAAGAGACAAAGCAATCAAAATTTCCAGACTCAGACATGGCCCAGATGTTGGAATTATCAAGCAGGGAATTTAAGAGAACCGCAAATATAATAAAATGATAAAGGTTCAAGTGGAAAAAGTGATTAAGCTTTATGATCAGATAGATATTCTAGCACAGAGATGGAAACTATGAAACAGGGTCGAAGGGAAATGTGAGGAATGAAACACGCAGTAGCAGAGATGAAGAGTGCCTTCAACTGGTTCACCAGTAGACTCAACACAGCCAAAGGAAGAATCTGTGAACTCAAAGGTGGGTCAACAGAAATCATCCAAACTGTAACAAAAAAAGAAAAAAGGGAAGGGGGTGTAAAAAAAAATTTTTAAAAACAATGAATAATGCATCTAAGAACTAAAGAACAGTGACAAATGAGCCAACACAAACATAACTGGAGAAGAAAGACTGCAGTAGGAATAATATTTAAAGAAATAACAGTAAAGAAATTTCCAAAATTAATAACAGACACCAAATCATAGATCCAAGCTCAGAGGACCAATCCAGGTAAAAATTTTTAAATGACACTCAGATATATGATACTTAAACTGCTGCAAACCAAAAACAAGAAGAAACTCATGAAGGCAGCTGGAGAAACAGACACATGACAAGTGTACAGAGCTGATTTTTTCAGCCCTAGTGCCACTGACAGCTATATTCGTAGGGGCAAAAAAGCAAGGGACCACTGTGCATAGAATGCCAACATCACCCAACAGGCAGCTATCTTCATTTGCTTCATATATACAATGCCCACAGCAGGACACAGAAGAAACTCCACAGCAGTCATCCATGGCTGGGGTGACTGGACAGCTGGGAGAGAAGTGGGATGGACACTTTAAGGTATAAATTCGTGATTTTTAAATTTTAATTTTTTTTGTAAAAAGTCGATAAACCGTATTACCAACTTATTCTGTCTTTTGGAGACCTACATACAATGACCACAATTCTGCCCAAATTCACCACACTGTTTCAGACTAAACAGACCCTTTGAAAACACCAAGCTTGGTTCTCAAGGGTGAGCTATAACAGGATAAAGGGTCACTGTTCATCTCATTCCATTCTGCTTCTGTCACCCCACACATGCCCAGAACAGGATGCAATGTCCTAATACAAAAACACCTAGAAGAGGCATGTGAATAAACAATGCTCACACCGGGCACTTTACCAGCTGACTGTGAAGAACAAACACCTAGAAGAGGCATGTGAATAAACAATGCTTGCACCGGGCACTTTACCAGCTGACCGTGAAGAACTCTTCCTTTACCATGAGCTCCAGCTGCTGCCCAGGACCCCTAGTGAGAGGAGGGCAACAGGAGAGGAGGGAAGACAGAGGGAGGGAGCCAGAAAAGAAGAGGAAGGCCTGTGCACGTGAGCTAAGCTTCTGAGCACATGTCATGCTGTCATGCACCGAAAGAGAAAGCCCAAGTAGTCCTGGTAAGCATGATGCTTTGTCTTAGGCGGGAACCAGGGGAAAAGCCATTGGCAGCAATCAGCATTCTACACATAGCAGATTGAACTCTCCCCACTTTTGTGGAATAAAGTTTTATCAAATATTATTTCCACTGAATGATTTGACATTTGTATAGAGATTCATCCTTTTTTGGTTTTTCTGTATATGTAAGCCATTCCAAATTTCCACTAACAGAAAACAGTTGCTGCTTCTAAAACTAAATCTGATAGTAAAGAAGACAAGAAGTAAGATGAGCTCTTAAAGTAGCTTAAATGTCAGGTTAAAATGCAGTTAGTTCTATTTATAGACTCTGAAAGACACCAAATGCTCTTTTTATTCCTCTTTAAGGTCCACTGACCAGCAAAGGACCTAGTTGTTTACAACAATCTTTCTGATGGCTGAAAAACCTGCTTACCTGTACTTAGAGGGTTTCTGTTACCTCAGTGTAACTCTGAATTAGTAATTACACATGGGAAAATATATTTTCAAAACAATTCTTAGATTTTAATTTAATTCTTAAATTTAGAAACTGAGAGCTGGTAAGAAAAATAAAACCGGGTAGGTTCTTACTGGAGTTCCTGCGTTCACATAGCTCTGCAACTTGTTTCGCATCTCTTTCTCATTAAATTTGGCACTTCGCTTTACATAGATTCCTCCATGCTGCCACAATAAAATTGGGAGAAAGAAGTTTTACTTTTAAAATAATGATTGGCCAGAGTCATCAAAAAGGCAACTTTTCTTTCAAAAAGTACAGAATATAAACTACATTTCAGAATTTAATCTATATTTAATGTCTTCAAATATTAGCTTCTACAGAACATTTAGCTGAAAAATTACCTTGTCTCAACATAATTCAAAAAAACTGCATGTGACACTGTATTGGAAAATACATGAACTTTAGTTTTGTTGGCAGTTAAAATGAAAATGCTTTCTTTCTTAAATATACGTTTTTTAAAATAAAAAAACCTGATCAATCAGATGGATTTAACTCCCAATTCTTCCACCCACTTATTACGGAGTCACTAAAAAGCGTCCTTAAAATGTCAATACTCACGATCTTTAGGGATTTTAAAAAATCAATCCTGCTACAGATATTTCTGTGGCATTGTTATGGACAGAACTGTGTTCCCCCAAGTCAGTCTACTAAAGCCCTAATAGTTCCCACTGTGACTGTATTCAGAGAGAGGGCACTTAGAGGTGGTAATTAAGGTTAAAAAAGGGCCTCAGAGTGGGACCTTAGAAGTCTCTGTAGAAGGATTAGTCATCCAGTGTGATTAGTCCTTCTAAGAAGAGGAAGCAATGCCAGGGGTGCTTGGGCACAGGGAAAAAAACCACATGAAGACACAGGAAGAAGGCTGCTGTCTGCAAGCCAGGCAGAGAGACCTTGGGAGAAACTAACCCTGTCAACACCTTGATCTTGGATGTCTAGCCTCCAGAACTGGAGAAAATAAGTTTTATATATACAGCTTTTTTTTTTAAATATCATACAGATCACTAATTACTGTTATCAATAGTTTAATGTAATTGCGTATCAAATTCTATGCCTTTAAATTTCCTATTTGTTTGATCTTTGTACGTTTGCATTTTTGCTCTTTCATTTTACTGCAGCTGGTCCTTCATATCCATGTGTTCCACATCTGCAGATTCAACAAATCACAGATCAAAAATATGTGAATAAAAATAAAAAATAATACAATTAAAATAATACAAATAAAAATAAAGTATAACAACCGTTTACATGGCATTTATAATGTATTAGATATTATAAGTAATCTAGAGATGATTTAAAGTAGTGCACAGGTTATATGCAAATACTATCCCATTCTATATAAGGGTCTTGAGCATTGTATTTTAGATTTTGGTATCTGTGGTGGTCCTAAAACCAATCCCCACAGATGCTGAAGGAAAACTGTATATGGATAATCAGACAGGTATATAAGTACACACCACTAAAAATACCAAACCAAATTACTTCAATTGAGAATAAACTATTAAATCCATTTTAAAAACTATACATTTACATGAAATACATGTTAAATTTTAAAATATAACATTTTTATAGGGTTGGGTATGGCAGTTTGAACTATAATCTCAGCATTTGGGGAGGCTGAGGCAGGCAGATTGCTTGAGTCCAAGACCAGCCTGGGCAACACAGCGAGACCCCATCTCTACAAAAAATACAAATTTAGCCAGGCATGGTGGTGGGTACCCACAGTCCCAACTACTTGAGGCTGAGGCAGGAGGTTCACTTGAGCCCCACAGGTCAAGGCTGCAGTGAGCTGTGTTCACAACACTGCACTCAGTCTGAGCAACAAAGTGCGACCGTCTCAAAACAAAACAAAACAAAATTTATAAACTACATATATATAGAGAAAAGCATGGAAACAAATTACCTGAGCAAAATAAAACCCATACAATGGGAGCCACTTTAATCCTTCTTTCAGCACATAGCGCACATGTCCTAGCGCATTCTGCCTGATGGCCAAGATGTCAGCAACAATCCAGTCAACTGCAGAGACAGGACCCAGTTAGTACATACATGAACCTCTTCACAAGTTGTACTAGGAATGTGCTTCAAAAGTACTGTGATTAGGATGTTTAAAATTTTTTTAAATCAATCTGAGATATTTTAAAAATATACATTTTCTGTTTTTTGAGATTTTTTTGCATTTCTTGAAAGGCTTTTTATTTCAAAGATAAAACACAGTCACAAAATACCTAAGTAATCCAACAGCAGCATGTATATGGAATAAAATGAGCTTCTCTAAATCCTAAAGCCTAGAAAACGAAGATTTTTTTTTAATGAGAAAGTGGAAATTATAAACAAAAAATGGCCAAATGAAACTATGAATTGCAACTAAATATTCTGTGTGTGTATACGTATGTTCGGCAAAAGGCAAAGACAGTTTATCTTTTACTAATGAGTTTTTAGGACTTGGTACTAGGTTAGGACAGCAATCAAACAAAGGTCTCACATGCCTTACAATAGTGCTGGGTAGATACATGCGTTCTTTATGTAACCAAGAAAAACGATCCCAGGCTGCTAATAATTAGTTAAATAAATATGTTATTAACAAAGGGTTGCAAAAACAAGGGTAAGATGGTATGAGTTGATAACAGCAGCAACAAAAAACTTCCTAGAAGTTGTTAGTTGAGCTTTCAAAAAGAAAAAATTCCCAACACAGAGAGTGGCCCTTGCCAATAAAACAAACAGGAAGCGGCAATGTGGGTGCAGAAGATGGGAAACAGAGGACACGGTTTAAAGAGGAAATGAAGTGAAATTAAGAAGACAAATGATAAAGGTCTTAAGAACCACAGAAACTTAGATTTGAAATTAAATGGCTACAAACTACTCTATTTCTTGATGAGGAAGAAAACATATAAGAATGAAATGTATGAAAACATATAAGAATGAAGGGAGACTTCTCTAGTTAATACACACATGAGCTCAATTGATACTCGAAAAGAAAATCGTTAAGAATCTGTGAAAACAACAGTTCCAGCATCACCCAGGTCCTCAGGCCACAAAATGAGAACAAAAGGAGTGAGTCAGAGGAAGGAAATGTTTAAAAAAAAAAAAAATCTGTAGAAAATAAAAGCTGAGGATTTAAAGGAATTACAATAAAGTTTTAGCTGAAGAGGAGAGTCTTCCACAGATTACAGGATGATTAGCTCTCAGCTATGTGAAATCTGTTAGACAATGAACCATACTAGTCAGAATATCCCAAAGAAGATTCAGCCATTTTAATACTAAAAATTAACCCAGAAAAATGTCTTAGCAATTATTATACATCTCTTTTTAATCAGGGATTATCATTCACAAGTTAACTTTTTCTTGATGACTGAAGACTTACAATTATTATATATATGAAACTTTTGTTATGGCTTCCTAAAAGTAGAATGTTGCTTGCAAAGATGATCCCCTACAGTGTATGATTCCAGAGACAGACACCACCTGTGTTATTGGGTTGAGATATCTACACTATTGGGCTATCAATGATCACGTTTCTCTAAAGTATATAATTTCCTGTTGAAGTCCTCTCCCTAGCCCCTTCTAATTTAGATCAAACAAATAATAACTGATAAACATATTTCCTTCTAGTCATGTCTTAGAAACCATATAATCAATCCTGTTATACCTGTACCAAATGCAAAAGTAAGCAGTCAATAAATTGACTAAATTGAGAACTAATTCTGTATGGTTCTGTATGGTTCCCAGGCTAAAGCACATCTTGGAAATATAGTTGGGGTACAAAGTTAAAAACCAGGTTTAGCATCTTTTCCTGCAACAATTATTTTTTCTTAATTTGGAAGAATTTTAAAAATGGATTTTATTTTAAAACAAACGGGTTTATGGTTATATTATGGCCTCAGATGCCCCTCCCAAGAACTTTTAAGAGAAAGTATAAGATTTTCAAGGTACGTCATGTTCATAATAAGCTGCCCTGGGCTATGCCCTTAAACTTGAAAATTTTAGTGGAAACATTTAACAACTAGCTTAAGTAGTCAAAATATGCAAGCTTTGCGCCACCAGTATTTGCTACTGAATCATCTTTATTTCTTGTTTATTCTCAGCTATGTTTCAGATAGGACACCAGATTACAGATAGTTTCTGACTATCTCAGTTACAGTTGAGATTATATTACTTTGACAGTAACTATTCATATTTTGTGTTCTGGCATAATTTAACTAAGATAGCAATAAATTTGGCTATGTGAGACTCTTCCATGGCGATCAACCCAAAGCAGTGTCATTGTTCCCACTAACTTGGAGGAGAGGAGTAGAAGGCAGTGAGAGGCAGCAAGTCTAATTTCCTCATCCCTATCGTCATGAAAGAGCAGTTCCTAATTCATGAGGGCCCTGTGTAGTCTTAAGAGATACTGCATGTGCAGCGCTTCCCTACCATGGATCCAGTGTTATGCTAATGGTGAGCTATGACTGGCATCACAACCACTTTTAAATGCCATCTATGAGCCAGGTACTCTACCAGGATTAGGAGATAGCCTCTGTAAAGGGCCTAAAGGAGCCAGCACTCACTCCTTACCAATAAGGCTCTGAGAGATAAGTAATTTGCCCACTGACACACAGCCTGTTGCAGAACAGCATTTCTGCAATGTCAAACAGTAACCTGGGTCTCTCTGACTCCAAAGTCCGTGCCTTTTTATAATATTCTACTCACCACGCACACTGTTCAATAAGAAAATTGACGCTTAAACCAAGAAAAGGGAACATTTCATGAGAATAAAAAGGCAAATAGTAGGCGGGGAGCAGTGGCTCACGCCTGTAATCCCTGAACTTTGGGAGGCCAAGGCAGGCAGATCACCTGAGGTCAGGAGTTCAAGACCAGCCTGACCAACATGGTGAGAACACATCTCTACTGAAAATACAAAATTAGCCAAGTGTGGTGGTGCATGCCTGTAATCCCAGCTACTTGGCAGGCTAAGGCAGGAGAATGGCTTGAACCCAGGAGGCGAAGGTTGCAGTGAGCCGAGATCGCACCATTGCACTCCAGCCTGGGCAACAAGAGCGAAACTCTGTCTCAAAAAAAAAAGAAAAAGAAAAAATTGGCAAATAGTATCAAACGTAGATTGTTGAAGGATAAGGGGAAGGAATAACAGTCACTGTATCCTGCTGACTCCAGAGAGAAATGAGTTAACAGAGACAGAGACAGAATGTAGAGACAAGGATATGTCAAGTGAAAACAAGGGAAGAGAGAGACTAATTTAAATGTTAATTCTTTTGAGTATCAGGCCAGGAAACTCATTTATTCTGGCAAGCCTGGCAGAAGACAAACAAGAAAGTCTAAGCAGAACAGCAGTCTTTGAAATGTTCTCTCTGCTAATTACATTTTCAGAGATACTCCACTGTGATTCCTAACATCTCAGAAGGGTTTTACAAGGGGACCTAAACACGATCGGACAATGAACCATGTCTATGGCTAGGCTTTAGGGGTCTCTGAAACCCTAAAACTACATATACATTTTTATATGCACATTTTTTTCTAGGAAAAGGCTCTGTCATATACTGACTAAAGCCTGTAATTCTAAAGAAATTTAAAATCACTCACCTAGTATTTTCCCAAGTTATCGAATTCTAAAAGGAAGGCTTTCAAAAAGCAGCCTTCTCAAATCCTGCTGGGATCAGGATCTGGTGCCAGAGCAGTGATACAAAGTCACAGGCACTTGGAGCTAGGGTGAAGGGAAGGGGAAGTGGTTCTCTAAACTGATAAATGAAATTCAGGTCAGTGTGGTCTGAGGATGAAGATTATCCTTCCCATAGTACCTCTGGTCCCAAATACAAGTAGAATTGTTTTCTGTTTTTGTTTTTTAATCTGTTTTTTCATAGATGTTTTCTAGAAGTCCTCAATCTGAAGGAATATATATAATATATATAAAAGCCAATATGTAGTAAGCATACAAATTAACAGTAGTAGTTATCATTATTATCACTATCAGCAACACTTCCAGAAATGTTCAGAGAACTTACTCCACGAGTCACTACTGGAGAGCTCTGTTAATCGAGTGGAGTTTATACTGAAACCTGGACAAAGAAAAGCTGGCAGGGAAACTGAAGAAGGAATTTTAAGAGAATCCTGTTAAACAGAAAGACAACTCTACACGAAATTAACACTGGATCGATATAAAGGAAATGTAGGAAAATCAAAGCTATCAAGAGCCACTCCCTGTACTGGGCCCACGGATCCCTTTTATTTGATATTTGAAACCTGGTAGAAACATCCGTCAGCGGCAGGACAGGAACAGCAGAATGGTGTTAGAAGTAAAACGGCCAATATGTCGGCACAGATCAGAGTTCTCAGCAGCACTGACCATTGGTTGACTGTTTTGCTATTTTTGCCGAGAGTGAAATGTAATTAGATAAAACAGTCTGAACCAGTCACATAATAAAGTTGGGGAAAATACACAGATACATCAAAATTCCTATCAACCCCTTGTAGCTTCAACTCTTGTCCTATAAATCTGAATGTAATCATTACTTCACTAAATTGAGAAAAATGCACTTTTAACTTTTTATACTTTCTATACCTCATCTATGGTATAAGTAGTAATAAAAACCACAAAATCATGAAGAGACAGCTGACAGAAAGAAAATTTTAAAAAAGTCACAGGCATAAGTGATTTCCCTTAAGAGTACTATATTGATCAGGTTGTTTTTAGCTTAAGAGTACAATATTGATCAGGCTGTTTTTAGCTTTGAGCTTCTAGGTATAACATTTTTTAAAGCAATAAAAATGGAATTTAGGAATATGCACCAAAAGTAGCTAGCTACAGGTTTGAAAACATAAGAAGTGGGATTTCTTGGAGGGCTGAATTATTTGGAGAATTAAAAAGTACCTTTCCCAATGACAATTTCCTGATCCTGCTACTGTGCTACAATTGTATTAAGATGTCACCATTGGGAAAATATTGCTGAAAGGGTCATAGGACTACAATGTACTGTTTTGCAAATTCTTGGGACTCTAGAATTACTTAAAAATGCAAAGGTTTTTAGAAGTATCTTAACCTAAAGTATATACTGCACTATTTTGAAGACCAGTCCTCTGCAATTCCTCTGATGGAACAGCAGCAAACTAGAATTAAACCAAACCCATTTGAAGAAGGAAAGGAAGCGCAGACATTAGAAATGACTAGCATAGTAAGGAAATGAGTACTCACATACCAATACAGCCTTTCTGCAGCTTAGCAATCAAAAATGTAAAATGTGTATCTACACTTCCACCCAAGGCTACTTCTAGAAACATCACTTACAAAAAGAATGAATACACTACACAAAGGAGAAACAAACCAAGCAAGTAAGAAAATAGCTTACTTACATCCAACAGAGGGAGAAGGTAAATTTAGGAAAATTCATAGCTTTCAAGTTTCTGACTTTCCAAAAAGTAAAATCACAAAAATACAAGAACAGGTGTAATATCTGCACAGAAAATCGATGTTTTAAAAAACCCACTTCATTTAAATATAAGAATGGTATTTTGAATGCCCATGTGCCATCTGTAGAAAAACCTACGTTTCATGCAAATGAAATACAAACCTGTGCTTTGATGATTTGCTAAATATATTATATTTTCTTTATTTTTTGGCAAATCTCCATATAGCAATATCTAAAAAATAAAACAAAAAAAACACATTACTTTGATATTTTAAAACATCTGTAATATACTGTAATATACAAAGGAAGACAATGTGAAGAAACTGATGAATGATGCTGTGAATATTTCCATCCATGATTAACAAAAATTAGATTCCTCACAGGAGCCTCAGAGATCAAAACTGCTCATGTCCACAAAGCAGTTATGTATAGGACAGGTTAATGGTCATAAATTAAAATAGAATAATCAATATCCTCATGAGAAAAATATAACAAGCATTTATTGATTGCTAACAATATATAAAACACTGTTCATAACATAAATCTTCCTTCAAAGAGCCTACAATCAATCTAGTAAGAGAAAGACATGTCCACAGGAACTGTAATGAGACATAATGCAAATACTATGAAAATATGGTACTTTTTTATGTTTAAAATCTGTTTTTTCTTTTTTCAGGAAACTAGAAGGCTACACAACCTTTTTTAATTTTAAAGAACTGTAAACTGCAGAGCAGGAGGATCATTAGGTGGGATTTTGGCAGATGAGAGGAAGGAAAACGTCATGAGAATAAGAATGAATGGAAGCAGTAACCCTGGAGGCCTGTTGGGTACACGGGCAGTGTCGGGCAGAGGAGCAAGGAGACCAGAAGGGTGGCTCTGAACTGGAATGCCAGAAGTCTTTTGAATTCCATGCTAAAGATTTAAACTTTATTCTGTAAGTATGAGAGAAACATGGTTCCATGATTAGGACTCACTCCATCTCCACCAAGAACAGAGTTCAACAAAAGGGCAACTTCCAGCATGAGGGAGGAGCTGGTGAGAAGCACACAGTGAGCTTCTGGTCCAACAGCCAGTTTATTTTTAAACTGGGTGGTAGGTACACAGGTGTTCAATGTACCTGTATTAGTGTTTCTGCTGTTTTGTGTGTCTTACATATTTTAGAATAAATTTTTCAAGAAACTGGGAGTATACTCCTAAAGACTTAAAAGGAAATGGCTGCTAATGGTGCTAGGTTTTTATTTAGGGCATTTTTGTTTCTACATCTTGTCATCATGGATTATGCAAGATTATAAATTAGCTAAGGCTATTTTTAGATCTACCTTGTCCATAAGGATTATATTTTGGTCATGACATTATTTATTAATATCTTAAAAAGAGAGGAAAGAAAGGGACAATTAACCCAACAACTTTGCAGACAAATGCACCTAGATAACATAAAGTTCTGGAAGCCAGGGATGTGACTAAAGTTTCCATTACGTTCCTTAGAAACTGCACAGTGCTATGTATGTAGTATGTTTAAATATTTGCCCAGTGAGTTTTTATTCATAAAGTTTATCGATGGCATAAATGAGTAAAACCAATAGTTTGATCTGTTCAGAGTTAAAAATGACATGCTCGCTTGTGAGTAAATCCCCATTCTCTTACCAACAAGCCGGAATTGCATCAAGACCGTTGAGTATGCACTGATTTAAAAGTTTTGCACAGGCCAGGCATAGTGGCCCACGTCTGCAATCCCAGTGCTTTGGGAGGCTGAGGTGGAGTGGGTGGGCGGGGGCAGTGGGGGCAGGATGGGAAGATCTCTTAAGCTCAGAAGTTCAAACCCAGCATGGGCAGCACAGCCAGACCCTGTCTCTACCGAAATATAACAAGATTAGCCAGGCATGGTGGTGCGCACCTGCCCACACTCCTTCAGGAGCATCCAGAACACACTGCACACCTAATGACAAGTCCCCAGCCCCTTATGGCCTATGAGCTCCTCAACAGCCTGATCCGTTTTCTACCCCAAGAGCCTAGCACCAAGCTGGTTTTTAATACATGTTTCCAGAATTATTGTTTACACTTTTGTCACCAGTAGGTAAAGCTATATCTCATCTTCAAAATAAAGGTAGTTTCAGAATAAACATAAATAAAATAATTTAAGTGCACCAGTGACTTTTAAAGGCATCATTCTGTAAATCTAGTACTCATTTTTAAATCACATTAGTTCCCTCTACAAACGTATCCTGAAAATAATTTGTCACTTCAAAATAAGGCACAAGAAAACATGCCTTTTCTTTTTGTTTTTCATAACTCTTTAAGTAATTTTAAGTTCATTATAATTGCTTCTTCATAATTTTAGGTTCATCCACTTTTTAAGAACTCATCAGACATCCCCTACAGAAAAAAAATAATTTCTCTTTTCATTTATTAATTCAGAGGTAGCCAATAAAAATGTTTCTGAATAACTATCTATCTTCATCACAACTGACAAACTAGTTATTCTGTTCTCGTCAAACAAACTTACTTATCTTGCACAAACTGGCTTTCACAAGAAGGCCTGAATTAGAAGTGGACTAGTTTCACCTCACCTTGATCACATTTATGTTGTTTTTAATTTGCTCTCATGATACATAAACTGCCTAATGACTCTTTTTTAATCTTAAAAACAGGTAGTAATATGGAATTTAAAGTAATCACATGCTTAACACCTTAGCCTCCAAAACACAATGTCACAGAGACATAAATACACAGCATTCTTTGTTAAAAAATATATATTCTTCATTTATCTCAATAATGTCCATTTGCCTTCCACATGCAAAACCTGAAACATGATTTTTTAAAAAAAAACTTGCACTGCTGTTAAGTATAGATGATACTGTTGACAGGAATCAGAGAATATTCCACACCCAAATACGCTACTTTGGCATTAGGATTACTTTGAGCTGAAGGCAGCTGAGACACAGCAGATACAGGAAGAGTTCTCTGCCCTCTCCCTAACTGCCTAAGGCAGGACATAATTTCCCTGTGGAAAGGTCATATGAATTTCCATATGTAAAGGTGTTTCCCTGTCCCTTATTAGGAGACCAGAAACTGGCAAAATAAACCTGCATAGCAAACCTTATTACCATACATTTCCTAGTCATTTTCCCACAATTTACCACCCCGGGAGCTGAAATCCTCTTCTCCTTAGACTAGTCACTTCACAATTTATCAGCCTTTGTTAAAAATCACATACAAACCCATTCTTTAGCCAAGCACAGAAGGGCACAACTACAGTCCCTGCTACTCAGGAAGCTCAAACAGAAGAATCGCTTGAGTTCAGGAGTTTGAGTCCAGCCCTGGCAACACAGCAAGACCCCCGTCTCTTTAAAATAAAGATAAACATAAAAATAACCCCTCCTCCTTCCCTGTGCATGTAAAAACACTAACATCAATAAAATGTGTATGCCTCTACTCCTGTTAATCTGTCTCTTAATCTCTTAATTCACAAGCCCTAGCTACCCTACGAGGGTAAAGGAACAGTCTGCTCTCCCCTATACTGTAACATGACAGCTACTAAGAGGTAGGTTCTAAAGTACTAGACTTGAATTAAGCTTGAATTAGAATCCTCATCCGTCACCTTATGATGAGAACTTGGGCAAAACATCCAACCTCTCCAGACCTATTTCTTTGCCTATAAAATGAGTGTAATAATAGTAACTACTCCTCCTAGGATTGCAGTGAAATAAGTGAAACTATGTAAACTACTTCACACAATGCCTAGAACATAGTAACCATCTAAAATATGTTAAACTGTCATTAGTATTATCCAATGAAACGGAACTTTTTATTCAAAACTGTGTTAAGTGATTAATGGACAAGAGAAATAGCTAGCTAGTCTATCTCTCCCCACAAAGTCTTTGATTACATAGAAGTACAGCCATAAAGAATTTCAATTTGAATAAGATTACATATACAATTTACACTGTTTATATAATTACTTGAACTTTTAAATGTATTTTATGCCAATGAAATATACCACCAGTTAATCATTATAAGATTTCTGCTGTAAAGCATACAAAAACTATAGTCTTTTTCTACCCAGTTTAAAACGTTTCATTGAATAGTAAAATTATTATGCCCTTCTGAAATAAGATCAAAATAGCGAACAGCTACTTGCCCGATAATCAATACAAACACAATTATCATGCAATAAATGGAACCTAACAGATGACAAAGTTCTTTTTTTCCTTTTGCTTTCTTTAGCAAAGCCTTCTTCATAAGCTTTCAAAACAGTACTTCACAAGCAAAACTGTAATGACTAGGTGTTTGGACCATCACGGCTCACTGCTCTCTCATTGTTCTTACCATGTCTAGTGAATAAACTGGCTGACTGCATTCAATAAGACACATGGCTGTTTCCATAGTAATAAGAATGCTGGTTCTTCCAACTCCAGCACTGCAAGAAACAACAAGGAGTTTTTCCTTGCCAACCCTCTTATTTTGCACATGAAAAACAAAATCCAGAAAGTCATTGAATCATCAGGGTCTCCATGGTCAGGACAACCTGTGTACTGGATCTGAGTGACTGATGACTCTCTCATTTTTCTCTTGGTTAAACAGCAGTGTGATCTTCCCGAAGATAAAGGCAGTGCTTCCTTCTTCTGAGTGGCAGAAGGCTTGGTAGCATCTACAGGATGAACTTCTGGGTTCTGGCCAATATTGGGGTCATTTATCTCTGCCACATTCAACTTGTGTGGTCAACATTACAACCATGGAGAAGACTTGTTCCTAAGTCATCTGCCAAAAATCTGTTCAAGTGTGTGGTAACGCCCCTTGACAAGCACTGTTCTGACTTATAACGCTGGAATTGCACTGATGTAGTCCTCATTACCTTTTAAAATAATCCATGTAGTATCATAAGGCAAACTATCTCTGTATCTATTTTTGGAAAGGTTCTAAGGTAATCTGGCACCAGACATTGTCATTCCAAGTTTTCTTTTTGATAAGCTGATCAAATTGTGTCCAGAATGTTCCAGCGGTAAGCCCTTGGCTAGCTGGATCACTGACTCCCACAGGAAATGGTCATCCTGGTGGACACTATCTAGTGGGTCTTTCTCCAGAATGTACTGGAAGTCTGTCCCGTTTTCTAGCACTTCTTCCACTACATCATATGCAGCACAGGTAGAACTAGAAGCATGAGTTCCCCAGAATGTCTCTCACAGTTAGCTTTAATAAGCAGGACAACCCAATCATGGATGAGTCTGTAAAGTC